GCTTTTGCGGTATACGCGATGCACCAACGACAGTGGCTCTTACCACCATTTGAATGTGTATTAGCCACTTGGATGGATGAGTGACATCAAAAGTTACCATATGTGGTAAATCATGTTTTTAAGAGTAGCTGGACAGGTTTTTTTTGCTTCAGGTTACCTAAATACCAACTGAAGCTGGACTAAAACATCATTTACTGGTCAACCTATTCTGTATTGGTCTTACTGCAGAAATTTTGTTGATCCGTACTGAATGATTTTCCTGGTTGTTGACGAGATCAGCATACTTGATGAAGTGATGTGACAGCCTTGCGTTGTATAACAAATCCCCGTCTAGACTTGCCCAGAATAGACACTGGCCTGTTAATAGGAAATTCTGTTACGTGTTTCATCAGAGTTTTAAGCGCACAGCTCCAGACCCGGGCACCTTTTTCAGATAGTATTATACTTTCCAAAACAGTGCGACCCTAGACAGGATAGGCAAAAAGATCTCTGGAGCCTAACAGGGATTTCTGATTGTCCCCAAGAGCTTGTCAGTTCTGTGGCTGTAATGAACAGTGAGCAAACATTTTGTTGTTGAACCTTGGAAATCTTTTTGTTTTGTAGCATCATTGAGAAGGGGGAAGAAAATTGCGGGCACCTAATTGAAGCTCACAAGGAGTGTATGAGAGCGCTGGGCTTCAAGATATGAGCGAGATGAGCAGGACTGTGAGTGTGGTGAGTACAGCCGTCAGGACCTCTGCCTCTGAAGTGCCCTGGCATCTCAGCTGGTGCCAGTGGAAGGCCCAGAGTCCTGTTCCTGATGGGAAAGGTATCTTCCATAGGGGAGGGAAGGCAAAGCAAAGTAATCCTCGTTTACACTAGAGTAAGCACTGCTGTCCTCGTGAGGGTGGTGAAGGCTTCTGGCAGCATACAGCCTTTGAGAGCAGTAGAGTTTGGTTCTGCCTCTGTTGTCTTCCAATAGATCCGAACTTCAACTTTGATTTCTAATGGTAGGGCAGGGTGGGGGTTGGTTTTTGTGGGTTTGTTGCTGGGGCTTTTTTGTTGATTGTTGAATATCCAATATCCAGTGGAAATCCGTGTTTTGTGAAGCTGTCTTTCTTCTCTCTTCTAGATGATGTCTGTGGTGTGACTGTGTTCTGGAAAGCTGCAAAATAAATTATTTCTGCAAGTTGCTTCAAAGAACAAATATAAACCAAGAATCTATTTATAAATGAGGCTCTGATGGTAGACTGTGCATCACGTCTGTGGCTTTTCCACTGTTAGCTTTTGACCGCTGCTATAGAAAATATATTTTTTCCTCTTAATAAAAGTCTGAAAATGACCACTGTTCCTCACTTCTGTTCCTTTTAAGTAAAGAGATGACAGTGCCCTCCTCATTGAAAACACTGTGCTATAGGAACGGAGAGAATGAGAAAAGCCTGCTGACTGATTGACATGAGAACGTTTGATTACTCTGCTGCTGTGGTTGAACAGATGGGCCTTTCGTGGGTTTTCCCGCTCGCGCAAATTGAGAAATCACGCTAGTAACGCTGCCCTGTTACTGCTTTCAGCAAAGTCATGCTGAAGCTTGTGCCATTTGTGACAGCAGGCGTAACTATATTTGCACAAAGACGACAACAGCCTTATGAAATGAACTTTCCTTAGAGTCAAAACTGGATTTGCTTTTCCCTGTTAGGATTCTTCCAGCTTTTTTTTTTTTTTTTTAATAGCTTTACCCTAGGATTCAAGCTTCGTTCTTTATAATGAAGGATTAAGTACTTTCCATATTGAACTCAAACTCTCGAGCCAGTAGTTCTTCAAGGCAAAGGGAGCAGAGGACCGCAGGTGCACGTACAGGTCACTTGCCTGAAAGAAAAGCTTTTTCTTTTTTGCTTTTATGCCCATTTTTTGTTGTGTTGGTCTTGTGCTAGGTGTGCATGGGCTTTTGTTTTCTGGCTTTTTTCTGACCTGTGTGACGTGACTGTGGGAAGGTGATTGTGGCCTTTGATTCCTTCTTTCAATCTAGAGAAAAAAAAAAAAAGTGCAGTTGGTTACACGTGTGGGACTTTTTTGGTTTCACGCTATGTCGCTGTGCAACCCTAATGTTGTTCTTCCTTCGGTGAGTTGCTTAAGATGGCATCACCGATTGCTTCCTCTCCTGCTGAGTTTTTGGAAGTTGAAGATACGAAATCTGTGCTTTGTCCTGATTCTTCTCTTGGCTTTGATCACGTTGGAGGGATGGGTGCGGTCATGGTGATTTGTCTGCCTGCTGGGCCCCGCGTATTCTGAGCTAGCGATGAATAGGCTGTGAACGCCTGGTCTGTGACGCTCGGTGCCATCTCTGCCGAGACTCACAAGTTGTGCGAGGAGAGTTGAGACTCTGCTTCCAGGAATGTTTCATGAAAGTCTTGCAGTCTGCGGAAACGTACTCTGAAATGCTTGCAGGGGACGAGCTGGGCAGTTAGACTTAGCTCTACGCTGCTTGTCTAGTCTCCCGTCCCGAGTCCTGTCCTGACTCCTCTTAGAGTTGTGCCCGTGTTGGCTTCCAGCCGGAGAGAGGGGACGCGGGTGTAGTTCTGGCAAAAAGCGTTCAAATGCTTCTGCGGTGCTGTAGCCAGCTGGGGAGCAGGACCTGGTGCTCCTCTTGGCGTTTGTTGTTGTCTTGAGGTAGAAACTTGAATATGGTCATTTATTGCTGAATCGACGCGTGTCGGAGCTTGAACTGAAGAGAACGTTAAAAGGTGGATGAGCACCGGCTTTGTGGTAGCATGTCCACTCTAGGTCAACTGTGGAAACGGTGCCACAGAGTAAAGAGCAGGGCAGGGGTTGGCAGTGGTCAGGTGAGAATGGAGTGCTATTTAAATCAGGTCAAGAAAAGAAAAAATGGGTCCCCGTACAATTTTACACAAATTGTATAAACTTAAGAAACAGGACCTTTAGGCCTGCATGAAGGTAAAAGCATGGTAGATAATTTAGATAAAGTCTTTGGAAGGAAGATGATGAGTGGGATGCTGCGATACCTGTGTGCAACAGGTACAGAAAGGATACTGCGCAACTCTATCCTTAAGCAACAACGGAAAAACCTTGTGGTCAAATTGCATTTCTTACTGAGCAGCTTCATTTGTTACGACAGGATTCCTGTGGAGTGGATTTGAGGCTTGATTCGGGAGTGGGAGTTACTGGCACTGTGTTATTACCTATCGATGGAGCTGGTGACAGACGCTGCCCGGCACAGGGTGTTCGGCGTACCTGCGAGGGCATGAAACGTGGCAGCAGCAGGAAACTTGACTAAACTATACAGCAGTACAACGAAATACAGTAGATGCCATCTTTGTCACTTGGATTCACCATGAGCTTGTCTGCAGCAGGCTTTAGACCTTTCCCAACAGTTGTAAGTCGAACGTGACTTGAAACACCAGGTGGACGTTTTGGAGCTACAGGCTTTACTAGTGCGTAAGTAACGGTTTTGGAGACTAATGCCAGCGATGCGCTATATAATAAATCAAACAGGAGATGTCTGATTATGCCTTCTCTGACTTGAAACCACCAAGGTCTTGGTGTCCTCAACACAGGTGATTGGACCAGTTCCCAGCTGATGGGATCAGTAGTGAACCTGTAGAATTCCTGAGGATGGGCAAAACAGCTGCTGTGAGATTTGGGACTGATGCTCTCTCGGTGCGGTGCTCCTCCGGAAGAGAGAGCATTTATTTACCAAACACAGTGCAGGCTGCACCTGGATTGCATGTTATATCTAGCATATATCTAGCATGGGGCTAGATATTAACTGCTACTGGTTGAATTCAGGCGGGGGAATCGGTGCAGTACCTGTTTACACACTGCCAGTTTCAGTGCTGAAAAGCTTGGCGTGTCTATTTTTCTTCTTCACAGACTCATTTTGTTGTAATGCCTATGTGCCTTCTTCCAGGGAATAATCTTAATGCTGCTCAGGTGGTTTCTATGCACTTGCTCTCTTGATCCCAAATTGTTTTGGGCCTTGGTATCTCCCTTTTAATACTTGGGTGGCTTTCCCCTTGAATCAGTATTGGCTTTTGAACGCTCACCTCGGATGAACCCCAGCATCCTTGGATGGAGGGCATGTAGTCTAATTCAAGACAAGGCATGGAAATAAAATTTCTTTTTGGAAAACTAAGAGCTTTTTGAACTCTTGCTGGGTGGAAAAACCGTGAAGATGGTCTGTATGGCCACAGTGCTCTCAAGAGAGAAAGGAAGATTTAAGCCTCGGTGGTTCAACCACTTTAAAAATCTTCCTTTTAAAAAACTGGGCCTGGAAACACCTAAATTAATCTCTAGCGTGTGCTCAGAGATCTACCTTTTCAAAGGCTATATCATTCGCTCTACAATGTCACGTTCAGAAAAGTTGTATTGTTTCTAATGAGAGCATTGTGCTGTGACTGCTGTGGGTTTAAACCTTCCTGTCCGCCTTCCGCAGGGAAGTCACACCGGGCGTCCTCGCCCACGGCGCTGGCCCCGGCAGCGCTGTGACCCCAGCGCACGCCTCTGGCGTTACCGCAACGCCGCTGTCTGTGTTCTGGAAGATGCCAGAGGAAGCACCTTCTTTGTCCTAACGAGTCGTTAACGTTGTGTTCCAGAGTATTTTCTAGCTCAGGAATTTACCTAACTCGGGAGTGAAATTAATAACTATTTTTTTTTTGTCATTTTCTTTGATGTTGCCAGACAAGTTTTTTGGTAGTACGGAAAGGTGGGAGAAATTGCAATGTTGCTTTTCAGATTGCTTCCTCTAACGTAGTTCTACATTGCTATTCATAGCAGTTCAGTTTTGCCTCACAGATCTTAGGTAAAGTATCTTTCTCATAAGTATTCCCAGTCTTGATATCCCAGCTCCCCATTATATCAAACGTCAGCCTAACTTGGAAAGAGGGCCCCTTATAATATTGATTTTTTTGCAGAGGCCTAAAGGTAGACAAGTTGTTTTTGGAATCATCTAGCAAGTACATGGCAATGGTATGAAAAACGGAACTTGGCTCCCAAGGTTTTTATTGTAGTGCTTTGGCTCTAAGATCATCCTTCCCTCTTTGCAGAGAAGGTCAAGAGAAATGAAGTTCATTTCCTTATACCTCTTGCAGCAGAGCCTTGTTCTGCTTCAGTCGGTAGGATTTCTTTCTTCACTTAAATAAGGGACGACTGGAGACAAGGTTCCCTGTTTCACTTCACCCTTAACAGAAGGCATCTTTCGGAGTGGATCATACTCGCCGCCTGCGCAAAGCTTCATTTGTCCTGTTTCCTTCCCCCGTGGCAAGCTGTCAAGATGGCGCAGCCTTTGCTGCTTTTAGGAGTCGTACCGCTCCGTGTTGCACGTGGGCTGATCGTTGTACAGATAGATTGTACTGTCCAAGACCATGATGAATTCTTTAAGGTTGCCATAAAGCCTCGCCCGGTAGGCAGCGTTATTCCAGAGCGCTATTAGTAGAAGAGGCGATTAGTGTGTCTTTAAGTGAATGGTGCCAATGGGAATGGCATGTTAGGCAGGGCAGCTGCAAGCTCGGCCTGAAACACGACCACCCTTGAAACCCTATCTCTACTCCACTGACCCATGCGGGCTGACTTCATGCTGTTGACTGACCGTGCGGGTTGCGTCAATGCCTGAAATGTAACGGCTTCCTGGCAGCGGGGCAGATCCTGCCTGCGTGACTGATAACGTGTTACTCGAAGCAAGGGAGAAATTGCATT